CATGCGGGGCTATTTGATAGCCTAGTTCTGAAACCAGCATCTGCAAAGTCAGCCTCTCGTAGCCAGTTTAATATATACCAATTGCATTATATCTGTATTGACGGACTGAATAATCGATTATCCGTGTACCGTAATATGATAATACACGCTCATCCAGTGTGTTATATGAAATGACTTACCATGTTTTGTATAAATGAGACAATGTATTGAAAAGACATACATGTATTCATTTCATTAAACAGTTTTAATGAGTTTTATACCAAATGGGCAATGTATCATGGTTTATTCGAATAAAAACACATACTAATTACTAAGATGCTGAGACGAGAGTATCTATCTGACGAAGATGTCAGGCCAAGACTATTTATCATAGATGCTAGGACAGGAGTATGTATGATAGATGCTAGGACAGGAGTATGTATGATAGATGCTAGGACAGGAGTATGTGTGATAGATGCTAGGACAAGAGTATGTATGATAGATGCTAGGACAAGAGTATGTATGATAGATGCTAGGACAGGAGTATGTATGATAGATGCTAGGACAAGAGTATGTATGATAGATGCTAGGACAGGAGTATGTATCATAGATGCTAGGACAGGAGTATGTATCATAGATGCTAGGACACTACCATGTATCGAAGATGTTGGGAAACGAGTTATATCGAAGATGCTGAGACAAGAGTATCTATCTAACGAAGATGTTAGGCCAAGACTATTTATCATAGATGCTAGGACAAGAGTATGTATGATAGATGCTAGGACACTATTATGTATCGAAGATGTTTGGAAACGAGTTATATCGAAGATGCTGAGACGAGAGTATCTGTCTAACGAAGATGTTAGGCCAAGACTATTTATCATAGATGCTAGGACAAGAGTATGTATGATAGATGCTAGGACAGGAGTATGTATCATAGACGCTAGGAAAGGGGTATGTATCATAGATGCTAGGACAGGAGTGTCTGTTAAATACGTTAGGACAAGAGTGGGTTCTACCAGTCCCAGTCTTCTATTTAATGCCCTAATGTTCTCCCCCGACTCTGTTCGACTGTGAAGGCGTACGCCATGCGTGGAATGCAGGGTGTTCGCGGGGTTAGGAATCTATACATTGTATGGCGGGCTAAAGGGTATTTACGTAGCACAGGTCGTATTCACAAGGCATGACATGTTTTCTACCGATGTATTGATGGCGCATATTGATATCTCCTAACGATGAATGTCCCGCATACATTATCAGGCGTAAGTATGCCCTCGTGAGCAGCAGCTGGCGCTTTCTATGCAGGGATGGAAAAACGTTCTGTGGCAATGGTATATTGTGACTGGTGCTCCGGTAATTGTTGGTTCTCGTGGTTAAGACTCCAACACGGCTGTATTGTTGGGGAGTCAAACAGCGAACTTTTCACGGCGGTATTGTTGGGGAGTCAAATAGCGAACTTTTCACAGCGGTATTGTTGAGGAGTCAAACAGCGAACTATTCATGGCTGTATTTTTTGGGAGTCAAACAGAACTTTTCACAGCTGTATTGTTGGGGAGGCAAACAGAACTTTTCACGGCTGTATTGTTTGGGAGTCAAACAGAACTTTTCACGGCTGTATTGTTTGGGAGTCAAACAGAAATTTTCACGGCTGTATTGTTTGGGAGTCAAACAACTTTTCACGGCTGTATTGTTTGGGAGTCAAACAGAACTTTTCACGGCTGTATTGTTTGGGAGTCAAACAGAACTTTTCACGGCTGTATTGTTTGGGAGTCAAACAGAACTTTTCACGGCTGTATTGTTTGGGAGTCAAACATAACTTTTCACGGCTGTATTGTTTGGGAGTCAAACAGAACTTCTACGGCTGTATTGTTTGGGAGTCAAACAGAACTTTTCACGGCTGTATAGTTGGGGAGTCAAACAACTTTTCACGGCTGTATTGTTTGGGAGTCAAACAGAACTTTTCACGGCTGTATTGTTTGGGAGTCAAACAGAACTTTTCACGGCTGTATTGTTTGGGAGTCTCTCAGTCCCATAGTCCCAGTCCCAGTCCCGAGTTAGACCAAGGCGAAACCGCATTATCAGCGGTTCATATCAAGCTCCTCACAGCGATAGTACGTTCCCGGAGCTCTCTATGTTACCGAAGGTGTCACGCGCTGGGAAGGAGCTTGTGGTTCATATTGGGAAAGGGAGGTCACTCTAATTTCAAACGGGAGCTATCTCCGTTGTTTTCGTATTTGCGAGTAATGGAGTCACCCACGCTGTACGTTGTTGGTCCAGCTATTAAATGCCCAGCTTATCCCTAAGGTAAAACGTATTCTTAATTAAATGTTTGAATGCATTATATATTTATGTTTCCATCCGTACATCTTCTAAGATTGGTTTAGTGCTGATAACCATTTTCTAAAATGTGGGCCAACATCTTTCCCGTCATCTATGGTGTTCGAAACAAGTGGGCCCACATTTGTATTTCGCCTAGCTTCGTTAGGTTGTTTCGTTAGTTCTGATAATCAATTCCTAAATGTGGGCAGACGTTCTTCCGTCATGTTGATTGCAACAGGAGGGACCACATTTATTAATCGCGAAATTCTACTTAAATATTGATAATCATTTTCTCAAATGTGGGCCAACATTGTTCCCGTCATATATGGCGATCGAAACACGTGGGCTCACATTTGTATATTGCCTAGTGGGTTGACGTTCTTCCGTCATAGTGATTGCAACAGGAGGGACCACATTCAAAAATCGCTAAGCTTCATTAGCTTGGCCTACTTATAACCATTTTCTAAAATGTGGGCCATTTAACATTGTTCCCGTCTTATAGTGATCGAAACAGGTGGGCCCACATTTGTAAATCGCTGGGTTTCATTGGGTTGACGAAGTCATTGAGGCTAGTGGGCTCACATTTGCCATTACTTTGCATGGGTATGTGACATTATATATTATTCACATTTTGTAATATTGATGGGAAAAAATCATTTCGTGTGACGTTAATTCCACGAAAGGCACAAACATCTTTGAAGTTTGAATAACGTCATCATAGCTGACCACACTAGTTTTACAAAAATAGTTTCAAAGCAAGAAACTTAAATCTACTTCAAATTAAATTTACAGAGGCAATACCACTTATTCTACCTTTTCCAGTATAACACATCGATCTAATCATAAGTGTTGGTGGCGATATAAGCCTGAAAATATGTCTACACTTGAATTGACCTCGGACATGATACAAGCCTCAAACGTTTCCGAGATCTTGTTCCATAAAAGGAATAACTCATGAATATTAATAACCCCACGACCTAGTTTGGCGATGTTCGTAGAAGTGAGTTCTGCAGTATTGCCATCGCATTTGTACATTTTAATCCAATTATAAGTCATAATACTTATTTTAAATAGACAAAATAGCAGTTCGTAATGCGGGTTTGTTTACGTAGTACATATTCTCAACAACAAGTGCGTTTAGTTACGAATGTGGGCCCACCTCGAACTTTCGATTAGGCAAACGGAGTTAGCTCCCTTCTCGAACCGATAATGCGGTTCCGCCGACCGAGTTAGACCAAGGTAGACTGAGTTAGACCAAGGTAGACCGAGTTAGATATGTTGTACTCATGATACACGACTCAAAGTCTTCTGTATTATGGCATGATGTTTATTATGCATACATCAGTGAATACGACCAATGAACATGACATGAATCGTCTCGAAATGCAACATATTATAAATATTATACGTACAAACAACAAAATTAGATATTTTGTTGTTCCAACAGAATGTTCAGAATACCCGGCTTGAAGATAATCCACATGGTATTCGCCCTCAACAATATTAGTTTTTGTATCGTATCACTGTTTGATATTTCTTTGAAGTTGACGGATGACAAAGTAGGCACGATTATTACGATAAATTTTAATATAGAAGTTCTCATCCATTAAGTGTGCCCACTTCGTGTCGTCTCAACAATAAATTACCCTTGATATATTAATGTAGACTCCAGTAACGCTAGTACACTACTGTCCTCGACTATTATACTAGAGCGAGGGACAAGAAATAGATTTTATGGGCACTGTGGCTTTCGATCAACTGACAGTTTAAAGTACTGAAAACCCACTAATGTTTATTGCTACTTATATCTGTGAAGAACGCTGAGTAAGTTACCGCCTGACGTACTATAACCCGTTAGCACTTACCCATCTGACGCCAGCTGTAACCTGCTTGCTCTAGTCTCACTATGGCAGCACTGCCCAGCCTCTTCGGGTATATTCGTGAGCATTATTTTATATTTAAAACAGTAGGGTCTATCCAGTCATTAAAGATCGACGTTGGTTTACAAAATATATTGATCCGGTGCACTCACTGGCAGTATTCCCGTGAAGTTCCCGTGTTGGAATTGGTCTTTAGCAATCCATGCTTGTCGTAAAGTAGAGTAAAGAGGCGACTAACGGGATCGGGTGGTCAGACTGGCTGACTTGGTTGATGCATGTCATCGTATCCCAATTGTGTAGATCGATGCCCAGGATGTCAATCGCTGGATTGTCTGGTCCAGACTCGATTAATTAAAGACCGCCGTCATATAGCTGGAATATTGCTGAGTGCGGCGTTAAACAAACAAACAAACAAACAAACAAACAAACAGTATTGCACAACACCAGCGTGGTGAAACCATACGTATGCATTCATGCCATCCTCCATTATCCGGTAGTCTATATCCATTCTATAAAGATAAATACTCTGGACCTTTTAGCCACCACAGTTTCGAATAGCACGACGCTGAAAGTAGAATCAAATTATTCTCACGAGCAACATATTCTGTGCTTGTAATGAGTGAGTGAGTGAGTTGGGTTTAACGCCGCTTTTAACATTATTCCAGTTATATCACGGCGTGTCAGCTTAATGTGGGAGGAAAGCCCGAAGTGATGCAGGTCTAAGACGTTTACCACTTCGGTGAAACCCACGAGCACGGGTATGGTGCTGACAAACCTAGAAACATAATTGGGGCGAACCGAGATTCGAACCCACAATCATAGGTTTCTGGCGTGCCCAAGGGACGCACATCTGCACAGCGAATCGCGGCGCCTTAGACGACTGGGCCACCCGTGCCCCCTCTGTGCTTGTAATTGGTGCAGTGGAGTGAGTGCGTATGGTTTTCCGTCGTCTTTAGCAATGTTTCGGCAATATCACGGCGGGGGACACCAAACGTGTGATTGATGCATTGTACCTATATTGGGGAATTAAACCCCGGTCTTCGGCGTGATAGCTAATGCTTTAACCACTAGGCTACCCGATTCTTATTAAGGAACCGAAACACAGCAACTGTTAAAAATTCAGATAATCTTCCCAAAAACTTGTTGATATTTGTGTGTCTGTTGATTAACGCCGCACTCAGTAATATTCCAGCTAAATGTCGGCGGTCTGTAAATAATCCAGTGATTGACATCATGAGCATCGATCTTCGCCATTGGGATACGACGAGAGTCACCTGAACCCGTTAGTCGCCTCTTCCGACAAGCATGGGTTGCTGAAGAACAGGTCTAACCCGGATCTTCACAGCCGTTGTTGATATTTTACTTCTTGGGAATATAGCTTATATGGTTGAGCGAACGGCACAGCGGCTGTTCATGGCGTAGCCCTTCGTGGTAAACTCAAACACTGCCTCTATGTAATCCAGGCACAAGTTATCTGCCCATGATTTGGGGGGAAATCCTTCTAAAAAGCCACAATGTCCCCCTTTCTCTGTTGCCACTAGTAAAAAGTTGGGATAATATTTGAAGAGATCATAAGGAATATCACTTTTGGCATAGAAAGGATCGTCTAAACTATTGATACATAGCACTGGCACCGATATGTCGTCCACGTCTCGGATTGGGTTGTTCCTCTCCCAGAACTCTTCCATACTATCGTAGCCATATATTCGGCAGTAAACATCCTCCTCGTATTTGTGAAACGTCCACGCCTTCAGAGCCTGTTTCACGTCGACCGTACCCGACAAGGCCCGGGCGTGGCGGCACAGGATGGCCTTGAGGAACAGGAGAAACAGGTAGTCATACACACTTCTCATAGACAAGGAGAAACGTTCACACGCGTCGTAACAGGGGGAGACACATGCGCCGACAGATATGAGAGCCGAGGAACCGAACTCGCCTAAATAGGAAATCAACAGCCCACACCCTGTACCGTAACCTACAGCTGCTAACTTAGACCGCGGGAATTTCAACCTGATGTATTTTACGACTTGCCGTAAATCGGAAGGGTCGCCGGAACTTTGTAGTTTGGCTGTTGTTAGAACACTTCCGCCGTGTCCCCTGCGGTTAAACACCACCGCTTTAAATCCCCGTTGTGTGGCGTCGTAACACAATGACGAAACACCAAGGGCACTTCCTGTTATAGAGGGAATGATAAGCAAAATAGTCCTTTTTCTTTTGATCTTTGGTTGAACACTCACAACCCAATCAAGGGCAACAACTCCCTTGTCTCTCATTTGCAAGTACTCCCTGTCGAAATTCACATCAAACGTAGGGCATATTGCTGCAAGAATCGATTGCACGTGACGATTGCGTATCCAAAACGAGGGCGAAAATACCCGCTCTCGCAGGCGACATTTGCTGAGTAGGTGTCGCGTCAGTGTTGATTCCCTGTAGTGGAGCTTTGGGTGGTAGGCACGTGACCGGAAGAAGCCATGTATACGGACGGCGAGACTGAGCAGTAGGGAGCCAATGACTGCCATCAGAAACGGGACGGCGATGATGGCGTATAAGGATAACATCATCATCAGAGGAAAGGATCGTCTGTCTGGTCCCACGCTGCCATCTTTCTTCCAAAGTCTACATGTCGACCTTTCTGGAAAAACAAAAAAAGAAATAAAGCAGTTATATTGAAATATATTTAAACTCTGACAAGACCCACGTCAAAGCCAGATAACAACCAGTCTCGATTATCCGACGAAACAGATTCAGACGTAAAAGGCAAAATAGGGTGCCGTTCCACAAAGCATTCTTAGTGCTAAGTGAGCGTAACTCTCATACTTTAACATAATCTTTAGAGTGTCAGCCCTACGATCGCTTTGTGGAATGAAGCCCAGGATACCAACAATACAACAGACAATAGATGTCTGAGGACCTGGAGCTCACCTCACAGTACATATTGTTAATTTCATACGTTGATTAATCAAAGGGATTGTTCCCGGCTGTCGTTGAGCAGTTATATGATCTAGAACATGATGTGTATGACGAGCTGCATTGGATCTAGACTTGTTTCCGGACACCTTTGCGCAGCATATCATAAGTTTAACCTCTAAGGGAAAAAATGAGATCTGAAAATAACGGGAACCACGGCCTGTGAGTCAATGGATGGGTGGACACTGGTCATCTACTGGACAGTTCCATGTCTCTTCCTACAACAGTCCAGCAAGAGCACAGTGACGTCAGTGGTCATATATCGGGGACCCATAAGGCATTGCGAGTGCATGGTCGGCTCCACGATATAATATTAGCGATACGTTAAGTATGTATGAACGAATGACAGTAATGGTCGTGTTGTGAAATGGGTCGGTTAACAGTTATCCAAGCCACAAGCATCGAACGTTTCGAGTTTCATAATGAACTACAATGTACAAACAACATTAATGCTTTTCACATTTGTGTTCTCAGGATATTACTATGCAACTTATTTTTGAGAGAGTGAGTGAGTGACTATGGTTTTACACCGCTTTTGGTAATAGTCGAGCAATATCACCGTGGTGGACACCAGAAATGGGCTTCAGACAAAGTACTCATGTGGGGAATCGAACCCGGGTATTCGGCGTGACGAGAGGACGCTTTAACCATTAGGCTACCCCAATGCCCCTTTTATATAACCGTATACAATATATAGCATATGATGGGTGTATCTCTCGGCAGGATAAATCCTACGAATTTTGATCATTGACGGATGATTCTGCCAAAAAAAATAGGCCAGATCTTTTTAGTGTTGACAAACAAACATGACGTCGCACTTGTTTCAAATCGTTCGCAGAAGAATATTGGTAGTCATGCCATGTGTCTGTTATCATTATCCAAATATTAGTCTAAGGTCTAAAAACCAAGGTCAGTTTCAGTTGAAACTGTATTGCCCGTTGTCACTGTATCACAAACTAATCACTGGCCTTGTGACGTAATATATTACTGCGCACATTACAGAAACACTATAAAGATTAGGTACCGTTTTTGAGAGGTGAGAATATTATTTTCGAAGATAGAATTTATGAATGACAGTATTTGATAAAGACATCACGCGGATGTGTTCAGGGTTGGTAAATATCCCGTATTAGTGATAATCGTTGTATTGAGGGAACCTTCACAGCCATCTGAACACACACTCGTGTGATAACCTCCATACCATGTGAGGTGAGGTGAAATGGGGTTTAACATTTTATTGCACTTTTATGCACGTATGTGTGTGTGTGGCTGCTTGTACTAGTCCGGGCTGATGCCTATTTATAGTGCTAGCCCACTGAGATACCATGCCGCAGTTTAACAAGAATACCCCACTCAGACACAGTATACTGACTCCGAGCCAACCAGTCCTTGTTTTAGCTTAATGCCCAGTGCCAGACAGGGTAAGAACAAGTACCATCTTTTAACGTGTTTGGATATGACGCGGCCGGGGATAGAATCACGGACCTTCCGCTCTCCGGGCGGACGCTCTACCACAAGACCACGGAGGCGGTCTCTGTACCAGGTTATATATAAGTGGGACATAAATATTTCAACTCGCACGTCCGATAAATGTGCGCAACACGGAGTTCCCGATGTTAAGTTTTAAACCTTCATCTAACTTGGCTATTTACTAGTCTACGACCCTCAGCACGTTGCATACGCAGCAACCAGACCCGACGGGTAATGGATACGCATCTAATATCCGTCGGTCAGTGCGGATGTATATACTGGGAGGGTCCTTATCCGCTGTATCGGAAATCTCTACTGAGCGTAATGTCATCCATAGCGCATATAAAAAATGAGATTTTTTCCCGCATGTAGTAGATGGTGTATACACGGAGAAGGGGTTCTAGAGGAGAGCTCGTTATCTGGACTGTCAACACACTTACGTTTAAGTGCCTGATTATTGGGTTGGTTCTGACAAGTAAGTTTATGACTTTCTGTTCTTATGACGTCATAACAGATACTTAGTGTCCAGCTGATGTGACAAAGCAGCTGTTGTGCGGAACACAGCTTTATGAAAGACCAGCACGAGATGTTGATTAAATAGATGTCCCAGGGACATATTAAGTCAGAATCGATTTAGCTGTGAGTGTGATTTCCTCAGTGACAAGACATCAAGGTTGTTGACGAGAAAGTTTTTCATCACTGAACATGACAATTACATTAAGGAACAGTGCCGTCGTCGCGATGTGCGAACAGATAGGGTTGGGTAGCCATGCTCAGATCATACACTCCGGTGTTGATTATAGTCTGAAGCAAATCTTTGTTAATCACGAATGAGTATGTTGTCATATACAGTTAATGTGTTACATGATTACTGCAGCATGATATATTCTAAATGTTCAGGATGTAACTGTTTACATTCATCTTGATGTACACAGGGCTAATAAAGAGGAGTCACGTGCTCAGGGACAATGGCCAAATGAGCTTCAGCAATATGTCCACATGACTTTCATCAACATGGCCAGATGAGGTTCATAGGACAATCAGGGCGGCCGGGGAGCCTAGTGGTTAAAGCGTTCGCTCGTCACGCCGAAAACCCGGGTTCGATTTCCGACATGGCTACAATGTGTGAAGCCCATTTCTGGTCTCCCCCGTCGTGATATTGCTGGAATAATACTAAAAGCGATGTAAAACCATACTCACTCACTCATTTGAAAATCTTCAGCAACATAACCAGAAGAGGTTCATAGCACAATGTCAACCATACGAGCAAATGGTGTTAATAGTACAATTTCAGCAACACGACCACATGAGGTCACTAGGACAATGCTAGAAACATGTCGAAATGAGGTTCAACGGACAATATTTAGCAACACGCCCAGGTGGGATTCACAGAACGATGTCAGCAACATGACTAAATGAGGTTCACAGGACAGGAGAACCGCACTAATAGCAGCCCTGGCAGAATCGCCGTCCACGGAGAAACTTAATAACATAACTCACTGGCAGCAGGTGTTCAAAACAGCCTTAAATGCCTCGTGGGTATTCCAGCTCCGTGCATAATTACCCATACGTGTCGCGGAATGGACTTCAAGTGGTTACAGCGTGTGCCTGACTGGATAGGACAGTTGGTCAGACCGACCAGTGGTTGGACACAGTCGGGTACGATGGATCGCATTCGGATAAGACATTAATAACATCCCAACCTTCATTAAGCGCGATGGTCTGTGGACCCATATTCCCAAGGGCATGGTATAAGTTGTATCACGTACTCCCAGTGATATCCGTGCTCAAGGTTGTCAATCGCTTCTTCGGCTGGCCGTGATGTTTCTTTGTTTGCTTATTGTCTGACGCCACATTTAGTAATACTAAATGAAGGCGGTCTGTAAATAATCGAGCCTGGGGCAGACATTTCAGTTACTGATATTGTGAGCAACAATCCACGCCATCAGGGCTCTATGATATACCATCAACCAAGTCACCGAGCCTAACCAACCGATCCATTCAGTCGCCTGTAACGACCAGCATAGGTTGGGGACCAATTCTAACCCGGAATCCCTCCGAATAACCGGCGATGTAGCTGTAATAGTGCTGCCTGCGGCGTAAAACAGTAATATGCATTCAGAGTACATTGGGAAGACCCTCTGCCCACCTGTATTAAACAGTATTTCAGTTTATCAACTTGATGATGGAGGAAGTGATCAAGTCTCAAACGTTTACCACTTTGATGAAACCCATAAGTAGTGGTAGGGTGTTTACAAACAAACACACCAGCCTGGTTCTCTGGGTATGCTGCGCTGGCGCTACACCGTGGGCCTTGGGATTTTTATCGAGGCTGGATAATTTTCAGCTACCGCTACAAACCTAGATATCTTTTGCAATGAAAACTATGAGCCTTGATTTTTTTTTTATACGCAAACACCTTGCAACAATGAAATATTTATGGCAGGCAATTCCTTTTGTTCAACAATTAAATTTTCAAGAGTTTTCGGGGCACTGGATTTTTTCCCCGATAAAATCCCAGCCCCCCCCCCCCCCCCCAATCCCAGCTACAGGCTGACAAACACACCAGGCACATATTGAACTCGGCTCTTTAAAACAACGTCAACTGTCAAGCAGACAGAGTTTGTTTCATACGGCGCAGGGAAATTGAAACAAATATGGTTTATTGGCAATAAAAACGACTGACGTGCAGGATAGACGAGACGCACTGGTGCCCGATAAACACTTCCTTTGTTATCCTAATGAAGATTAACCAACTACCTCAGAGGAATGCTGGTGGAAAAAACAAGACGAGGATGAATTCCGCAACCATAAATGTGTGCTGCAAACTCGAGTACATTAATATACATTACAAGTTTTAGTTCCCAACCAGTCCACTGAGTTCAGCAACAGGCTTAACGCTGACATACACAATACCCTTGACGACTATGAACACCTGTCTGGGAGAACACGATACTCTGCCTTTCTAGCTCGCGAGAGAATGTATCTTTAGGAGAACGTAATGGAAATCCCGGTATAGCGTATTCCGTGTGCTAATGTACAAGACACACTTTCTACTTCATAGATAAGTAATATAAAGTAAGAGTAATTTGAGCCCGTGGAGGCTGTCCCTAGACGATCTGCTTGCTACTGCCCCGGTAAGTGTGGTGCAGCGAAATGGGTAGACTAAAGTTCAGTCTCTGTAAACATTATTTG